CATATTCTAGATTGTATAGGGAAAAAAAAAAAAAAAAAAAGTCCTAAGAAGTCCTGCTAATTCCCTCTGCCTTTCTGGTGCTCCACTGTAAAGGTATGGACCAGGTGACTCAGACAAAAACACAAAGCAATATCCACTTATCCACCACTCCCCACAATCACAAACAAGTGCATATTTAAGTAACGTCCTGTAGGGCACAGATGATGATGCACTATTTACTTTTTGGGCTTGCAAAGGATAATGTCATGTTTCTGCATTGCTACAGACTTCCTAGCAGGACAGTCACACCCATAAGATCTGCTCATCTGGTTTGCCTTTATTTTCTTGTTACAATCTGTTTTGACCATAGAAGATGTTTCCTCTCCCCTCATTTGTAAGTCTGTTGTGAAAGAGACCATTATCTTGAGTGAGGAAAAGACTCATATGAAGCACATTTTATTCTTTAATAGGTATCTTCCCACAGTCAACACCAGCCTTCCGCAGAAATAAAGAGAAGTTAAGAGCCTTCTGTATCTGCTTTCAGCATCACAGATGCTATTGTTAACAGAACAGCACTTGGAAGGGGTGAAGTGCTCCAGAAGTGCTTATCTTTATGACCTGCCTCTAAGAGAGCTGAGCTCATTATCATTATCTTAAAATATTTTATATTAAAACATAATCATCATCTTTCATTGTTTAGATCCCTGGAAGTTTGGTCTCCATCAGAACAGTGGATTTCTTGTCAGCTTGTTCCAAACACCTAGAAAGAGGCAGCCTGTGTTTTATTGAATTGGGATGAATTTTAGAGTTGCAGAGATCTAATGCTTCAATTGCTTCTGCAGCCTGGAGGAAATATTCACAGAGTTCCTCTCTACCAAATCCAGCTTTCCCCTCTCAGTCACCTCCCCATCCCCACTGGAATAATTAACTTCAACATTTAAAGAGAAATGAAGGAAGGAGGAAAAACAGAAAAAAAGAAAAACAGACTCCAAAGCATATAACCTGGAACCCTTATTCTGAACATTTTTCCTTCACTGGCTCATCTGCCTGCAGGGAATTCAGTTAGTTACATTGCTAGACTAAAAAACCCTGAAGCTGTCCTTGAAATGAATGGCTCCATTCATTTAAGTGGGAGTGTGTTCTGGTTTTATTACCTGACCCCATATTTCTACCACAGAATCACAGGGCGAGTAAGTAAAATAACCTGTTCTCAACTGTGGCTGCCTGGTTATATCCTCCTATTACTTTAATTTGTTATTTTTCTAGGATTAATTCAGTGCATTAGGAAAGGATAATATCCCCCACCTCCTTGTGAAAACAGTTTTCAAATATGTTCTGAATGATTTAATGCCACTCTGCCCATCGAATTTCTGCCTCAGCAATTAAAAAGAAAACCAAGAGAATTAATTAATAAACTGAGAGGCGGGAAAAAAAAATCTTTTGAAATAACTATTACCAAAGCTTGGTATGAGTAACAGCAGTCTTTCCACCATCTTCAATGGACTTGATATAAGATACAAATTGCAGTCATTTGTTTCAAACAAAATAGAGCTGTTAATTTAAAACCCAAGAGAACCCCAACAGCACTCACGCAAATGAGGGTTGCTTTGCCTAACCTTTTCATCATCCTTATACCAGGTTTTTGGGGGGTTGCCTCTGGCTCAGCCCCCTCCCAAAACTAGCCTGCAAGAAATGACTTCCCAGACATGTCAGCACTCGACTACGTTCTCACTCAGGTCCAGCTGCTTAAGGAGAAATCTTAGAAAAGGAGAAAACTGGCACCCACCTGCCAGTTTCCTGGGGCAGGGTGTGGACATGCAATCATGGGTGCTCCCTCCCGAGCCCCCCAGGGTTCCTGTATTTCTGACCTGATAAGCAAATAGATCTGCATCATTACCAAGCTCAGTAGCAGTAACTATACCATGTAGTCTAAATCATTGTCTAGCTTTTGTGTGTGTGTGTGGATCCAGGCAATTATTTTTAAACCCTGCTATGAGGAATAATAGCTGACTTCCCGGGGCCGGCTGTAAACGTCCCATAATGCCTGGGGAAAGTCCAAACTGAAATGCTCTGTAGTTTAATGACATGTTACATAGAGAGAAAAATGTATTTGGAAGGAAATACCATTAAAAGGGGTAAGAAATAAAATGCTGTACTGTAAAATGCTTATAAGAGGAAAAAAATACCTGACTATTCAATTTTCAAAAGACTTCAGACCTTGTCTGCCTGGTCTATGATGAGTAAACCAAAGAAAAATACCCTGGTTCTGGACAGAGCTGAGGATGACCTTACAGGACCTTCTTTGTTCTGGGAGACAAACTAAGGAAGGTAAAACAGGTGCTATTGTTAAGAAAGGGATATTCAGCTGTAGGATGATTATGATTCTTCAAGCTGTAGAAATGCAGTTACAGAAATCTGCAGCAGCTTTAACTTCTATTAATAGTACAGAAGCATGTTCTGGCATTAAAATAATGAGGAATGCTAATTCCAGATCCCTTTTGATCCCATCTCTCTCTCCCTCCTCCCCTTTTTCTAATGACAGATCTATTCTTTTTTTACTTTAATGTTTCTGATTGTTTTGTAGGTAGTTATTCACAATTTTTTTCCCATAAAACCTGTCTAATAACCCGCTTTCATTTAGCATGCCCAAGCAACACAAAATTTCTAATTACTTACATCCATGGTCACCTCTCAAAGATGACAGAAATCTCCCAGAAACATTCCCATTATAAATGTGCTGGTTGGATTCCTGGGCTTGTAAGTTGCAGCCTGCCTGTTCCATAAGTACAGCTTCTACAGAGCCCATTTGGTGGCTATAAGCCATGTAAAGCTTTGGCATTTCCAAAGCAGCCTGATTAGATACCCATTTCCTGACTATCCTTCAAGGAGAATTCTGCAGCTGGGGGATTCAGTTTCTTTTAAAATCCTAGCTGTATAATTGTTATTTTTCAAAAAGCAGATAATAGATATTTTGCCTGCAAGCAGAAAGGTCACATAAATAGATACTGCAGCACTAAAAGATCTTTCAAACAATTAAAAAAAAGTCTCGATTGGGAATTCATATATCAAGACACTTATGAAACAAAAGAGTGCTGTGATGTGTATCCAGTAACTCCTGTACAATGTGAATTTAAGACCCCCACTGCAGCCAGCACCCAATAAATGGACAGAAGAAAGAAGCCTCAGCAAGCTCTCAGTCCATGTTAGGAAAGGTGTAACAGATACAACTACCTTTTAAGTCCTTTGGAGCTGCCCCGCTTACTACAGTTTTTACAGCATAGTGAAATAACAGTGTGGCCATGTATGGGATGTCTAGGTATTGCCACAAAATGGGGAAGATTAAATAATTAAAATAAATAAATACCAAATGAAAAAGAGGTAGCAAAAAGGAAAACCTATCAGTAAATCTGGTTTCATTCCTATGGACAGGTAGTCTCAGTGATCTAGCTGCTGGCTAGCAGGTGAGCATGATTGAATTAAGTAAATATGAATTGTTAATGGGAATTCCTTTACAGTGCTGTCTTTCCTAAGAGAAAAATGGAAGATGACAGCCAAACACCTGCCACCCAGTGCAAGGAAGGAGCCGCTCCCCCCGTGTGTGGCTGTTCCCTTCTCATCCCAGCATTATCAAAGCAGCAAGCAAAGCGCAGGCTGACTGGTGCACAGCTCCTCTCCTCAGGCAGTTATCAGTGTCAATCTTGATCTGTCTGACTGTGACCACAAATAATGAATGCTAATGGAAGAGCATGTGTTCCTGTGTCAACTATGGCATGTCTCATTTTGTGATTCGGGCTAGGAATATTATTGATACAGCACACTAGTGTAAGCATCAGCTCACAGCGGACAGGTAAATAATAATAAGAAATTCCTCTACTTCAAGAAGTCTGCAACACAAAGGTACTCTGAGTGCAACAGCAAGAAGAGAATGACAGTGCTTGATAGCCACAGCATTTCAGAGAGTGGCTGGAAGTTTTTCTGGAAGCAGCAAGGTAGGAAGTTCAATGTGGTATTGTATAAAGCGTTCTCAAACACTCATCCCATGTAAGCAAAAGAGCTGGAGGATACTAGAGAGCCAATAACTTCAAAAAAGCAGCATGAATAGAAGAAAGAGTGCTGAAGAGAAAGTAAGGCAAAAGGAAACATAGCTGTCCAGATGCAGACAAGGAAATTTGAGGACAAAGATAATAGAGAACAGGCTACACTAATTATCCCCTGATCATCACCCGTGCACCACCATGCCTTGGTCAGGCACAGGCAATTTTATGTTTACTGAAAACATAGGGAATAACTAGCTGTGGTGGAGACACACAGCTCTAGAGGCACCTCCTAACAGCTGCTGCCTTGGAGGGCTGCGTCTGCTTTTTGGCATGGCAATGGTCTGCTTATTTCCACCTGGAAGAAAGGTCTGCTCCTGTCCATGTGGGCAAGAGCCTGAATGAATGGTTTTCCAAGGCATCCCAGCTTTACTGGAAGTGAATCTGGGAGGGAATCCAACAAGAGGCATTTATTAGAGGGAATTTTAAAAGTTTAATGGGGAAGATAAGGTAGTAACTCTGAGAATCATCAATAGGGGGTAGTTCACTGGACCCTATCAGTCAAACCCTTGATCTTCATTCTGCCTGGCCAGCCCAAGAGCTATCAGATACCAAGGCTCATCAAGGACTAGTGCCAAACCCAGCCCAACAGCCCCCAATAAAAAGTAATTTAGCACACTGTGAAGCAGAAAATTATGTACCACACATGTACTGTACCACACAGTCAGGTGCCCCCTTTGCAAGTCAATCTGACAGTCAGAGCGAGGACACACAGACACTATCTCTGAGCACCAGGCTGGCACCACGCAGGGATTTACTGAGCACACAGTCAGCCTCTCTGGACATATTTCAAATGACAAACTATATGCAGTGTAAGACTGAAGCCTCTAAATGAAGATTAGTCATTGCCATTCTTTGTTAGCAGGTAGTGTAAGTAAAAGTGCATTTCCAGTTTAGTGAAGCAAGCATGTATTGCTTTTAACTTACCCTCTGAAGTACTGTCATCACCTGTCAAAATCGCTTCGCTAAGTCGTGATACCTCCATCAGAAACATTGCAGATGGGGACACACTGCCTCATGGCAAAGGGTTGACATTTTTCGGTGAGGACTCACAGCCCTCTACTGCTACAATAGCAACATCCTGCCAGAAAAATCAGTACTGTGCCTCTTTGAGAAGAAAAAGTCCTGGAGATAAGAATAAAGAGCAGCTAAAAAGCATACCCTCAAAGATATACTACAGCCTAGATAAAAGAATAAAGACAATGCCAAATCATTTTTAAATCCAGCTGAACCATACAGCCCTGAGAGAAAGGTGAGGGAGGAAACCAAAGAAACAAACCTACAACTCTTTATGTCATAAAGCACTAGGAAGGGTGGGGTGAAGCACCTAATTTCTTTATATGTTCTTTAACAGCTCCCCATCTGGAGCACATCAAGCCATGGGGCTTCCAGTGATCACCTTCACCTGCCACACAGTGTGTTGATTTTCAGCTGCACAGAAAAGCAATTAGAGTCAAGCATGAGCACTCTGTGATATTGAACAAATACTGAAAAATAACATAAAGATGTTTTTTATTCGGTACCACCAGAGTAAACTTGCCTGCTAGCTTGCAATTAATTTTTAACTAGGTAATGCATAGTTTGAGTCTGTTGAAGCAGATGCTACCTCCTTAGAAGCTCTTTGACCATTCGCTGGCCAAAGAAGCCAGAACTCAGCATGTGGCTAATTCCCTTTTCCTTACATACAGCTCAGGTGACAAAAGGAAAAATACCTGCTGCTATAATGTTATGTAGATTCACACAAAATTAGTAATAACTTAAACTTTGACTATATCTACACACTGCAACTCCCATAGATGTTATCAAAGCTGGTTTTAAACCAGCTCTGTAGCTGATGGTAATGACTTCATACAAGTTAATCACTGGTCTTTACCCAGCTTCTTCAGTGGGTTTTACAGCTGCAGCACGCTCCTGGTCGAAATATCTCTGTAAAAACTCATGAATATGTGTTTGAGGCAATCACTGAACCACAGACACACCCCTTGTTACATAGAAGTAACAGGTCAGGATCTGGTCTCCCCACCTTCAGCTTCATAGAAAGCTAATGAAGGGATCTCAACCCAACGCAATCCATTAGCAGCCCAGGACAGTGAGAGTTCTACTATTTAACTTTTATCACATCTGAAAGGGACAGCGTCACTTTGTTCCAGTTTTTGATACTTCAATATTTTCCCTCCCTGTTCCATACACCAGATGTTTTTATAGCATGGATTTTGATCGGGCCCGGTGGTACAGAGAACCGAGGTGCCTTTGATGCTAGGCACACTGATGCTTCTAACAGCTTTGGTATTTTGCCACTGAAATAAAAGAACTACAATTTATAAATTGGTTCTTTTTGTCTGGAGTTTAAGTATCAGCCCTGAAGAAGGGCTTGTGTGCCTACAACTGCAACCATGGATTTTCATTATATCAGCCAGTCTAACAGAAGACATTACCTTTCGTACAAAATTTGTCTTTCTGAAATAATATTCACTTGAGTGCTGTTAACCACCAATATAAGGTGCTCAAAAAGAGCCTTTCAGGGACAAATTCTCATGCCTTTGGTAACAACCATTATCACCTGCACTACTATTAATCCCATTGATTTCTGTCCTAAAGTCACTGCCTAAAGTACTGTTTTTAGAGGTAGCATTTTTGTGACTAACAGCTTTCAAGTGTTTTTGTAGGCCTACTAGCAGAGTAGAGTGCTATTCAGGGTGAGCAAAGACATCAGATCTGTTTCAGATGCTGATATTCGAGATACCATTCCCAGAGGCATTAGAAGAGAATCTCGGAGAAATAACATGAGAAATGGATCCTCCCTTTGCTTCCTCTTCCAGTCTCCAATCCACACCGAAGTAGCGATGTCTTAGAACATACCTGTGGAAAGAGGGTAATTGTGAAACTTGTTGTTGCCTGCCAAACAAAGAGGTACAGAGGTACAAAACCCCACTGAATTACAGACAGGTTTTGAATTAAAAATACATATGTAGGTGTTTTTAGCAACAGGACATGTTCATCCACTGACATTTTGTGTGTTCTTCATGTGAAGGACATTATTAAAAACGATCCATAGCCAACACATATGCACAAGGGACAATCTACTTGCACAGAGTACAGCCCCATTGTTTTTGAAAATCTATGGACACTCATCTCTTTTCTTACCATTCCTACCACACACAGGTTGTATTTCAGCGAGCTTTTCAACTTGAGACTAGAAGAGCTAGAACCTGAAAACCCAAGACCAATTTCTCAGAGCATTACTACTGACTGAACATATAGGCAATATTTTGTGCTTGTATTGATACAGAATATACATTAATGGTGTTATTTAGATGCTTTAAATAATTGTAATAATCCGTAGGCTGTTACAAAAGGTATCAATGAGCTTGTGATAGCTACTACCCAGCAGAAAGTGGGCTGGAATTGGTTAGCTGTGATGCATGTTGATGTGGACTTGTAAGAACAACCTGATCAGTCTGTGAGGCTTGGAGATTGTCTCCCCCTGTGCAACTGCTGGCAAACTGTTCCTACACATTAGCATATCAAAGCATACACCAACAACAAAATTAAAAAAATATATAAAAATGAAAGAGACATGCTGAAACTGAATTGAGTAACCAGAAAATAACCACACCTGCTACCTTTTCCACTCGTGTGTACATGAAGCTGAATATAAACAGCCCTGGAGAAGGCAAAATTGTGATTTGGGCCTGATTCTGTCTTATAGTGATTTTGTGACTCCACAGGTGACAGAGTGAGTCTGTAAATGAATATCCACCCTCACACAGGAGACTTTCTGCTGCTGAAATTCTTAGAGATTATATCTTCCGCTCATAGCCTGGTTCCGTATTGTTCATCCCATCGCACACTGCTAGCTGAATAATGAGGGATGTGGCAGTGCTCAATTAGCCTGCTGCTTACCTCAAATGGCAGCCTGCAAATGCAGGCTGGGAACAGTTTAAATACATTAACCAATTTAGTTCTGTAAATGTGCATAATGTATTGGCTAACTAATAATCTAATTGCTATTTACTTTGTGTTTATCCTACCAGTGATGGGTATCAAAATTCTAGGAATGTCAAAATGATGCTTATACAGTTTGTTCAGATTTTTTTGTGTTGATTTACTGAAACTTCACTGCTTTCCATCCAAGCCTGAGCTTATGCAATAGATGTTATGTCTGTTATACCAAAGTAAGAATTAGTGTTCTGTTAGCAAATCCGCTATCATACAAGCATCTTTCTAATCCTATAAGCAAATAAATTATCTATTAATAAAGGCAGATTCAAGTTCAAAGTGGAATTGTACTCTATACATTTGTTTTTCCTTAATTTGATCCAATTGAAAACCTTTTTTTTTTCTTTTAATAGACTTTTTTTTAAGTGAAAGGTCTATTCACCTCTTATGAAGGTTTATAGAAGGTTGGAAAAAAATCTCCTGTATCAAAACAATTATATAAAACATTAGTCTCAGAAGAAAAGGCTGGGATCACAAAACCCATTCAGCTTTCAGATGTAATCTGTTTAATATGAGGCTAGATTAAACAACATGAAGTGAAAGGGGTTAAGTATAAATCCATATAGATGCCCAAAGTATTTACAGTGTGCATTAAATAAATCATTTCATGCGAAAGGACAGTTATTGTTACTGGAAAGGTTTCCTAATTCACTTTCAGATAAAAATAAAGAGGGCTGCATTTAGAAGCTTTGTACACTTTTTCCCTTCTGACAGCTTTCAAGTGGCAGCATATTATTTGGTCGCTGCTACATACAAAGTGTCTTAATTAAAGGTTGTCTAAAAATACAGAACATTCTCACAGCCACATCTGCCATTAACTCTTCTGACATTCTGGTGGCATTAAGTACCAGAAAATTCTTCTTGTATTAAATAGCATTCCTCTCTCATGCTCTACCTCTCAGCAATCCTAGCAAATTTTAACAGCATGTCGCAATTGGTGCGCACCATCATTAGGGAGGTGGGCACAGCCTGTTCTCCAGCACAGCAAAATGGCTGTTTTTCCACCCAATCCAGACTCTGTTCCTAGCAGAGATGGTAACCCGGTGCCGTGCTTGAAGCCTGGGATATTTAGATTTAGGCTGCCTTGTAGCTTTGGACTGCATCCTAAAAACAGGGCAGCTCATCGCTGCCACGTGCTGGGAACTGCCCTCTGCTCACCTCAGGCCAGATCCTGAGCTGACCTCAGCCTGGCCAGAGTTTCACTGCCTGTTTATATGCTGCCTACATATTGACATCAGGCTGTGACCCCAACTGCTCCCAGCCCACTCTGCCATCAGCACTGACCCGGCTGACTCAGAGGAGTGGAGGCAGGACATCTCCACACCACCCTTTCCCATGGTGGAGGACACAAGGACTTCCAGGCTGCTCTCCACAAAGCTACAGCAAAGGGCTGAGAGCATGCAGGGCATGTGGGTGAGAGCAGGGAAAATCTGGGACAGACAACAAGACACCGTGATACATTTTTACCCTTATCCTTCTGCTCAGGATAAAATTAAGGCTGAAGAAACCAAAGTGGAGGAAATGCAGGAGTAATGGGATGCAGCAGGACTACCTTTGTGTGGTGATTTTATACAGCTTGGTAATTTATCCCAAGGAGATTTAATGAGAAATGAAGTCATTAAGGTCATACTGTAAAACAAAATTGAACCACTTTGCTTTTTTTAGGCAAAGGAATTATTCCACAAGCAGAAGTTAGGAAAATATGGTTTTCTTCAGTTATGTCTTCCGTGTGTGCGTGTGGTGGAGGGTTGGATTCACTGGTGTCTAATAATGAGACTGAATTAATTCTGCAGCATTTTCCCTAAAGGGAGCACTAATTTGTATTTCTTTCTGCTGGACTGCCTCTTCTTATGAAATCTGGAGGATTGCAATATCCTTCAGACCTCCATCTTATACTTAAACTTGAATTAAATCAGCCTTTCTTAGCCAAGAGTTATATCACAGAGGAGAGGCACTAGCACTGACCAACAAAATGAGAGCAGGTATTTTTATTTCCTCAAGAAATTTGGCTAAAATAGGGCTAGTTCAACTCATTTAACATCAGATACATTTAAACTGGAGGAAATATATCCTGCCTGCAAAATTTCTCCCTCATTCTGGCTATTTAGTCAAGCATTGTGGCTTGTTACTTATTTGCTATGTTTGCAATTATCTGCAGTAAATGCAGTTCATGGTTTAGGAAAAGAGCCAAATCCCCAGCAAAATTAGGGAGTACTCTTCTTCCAAGTACCATTCCTGTCCCCATATGCAATGTCAAATGAAATGAGCTAGAGA